TACTCTTGATCAGCACCACTATCATTATTATCAACAAGCCTTTGGTGTGTCACTGAGGAGATTTGGAGAATATTGTGAGTTGTAGAGGGAGAAATTTGGTATTGGGTAGATGAAAATGAGAGTGATACGATAATTTTATTTTGATATTAGAGGATATTTTAGTTAATTTATTTTATTTTTTTATTAAATCAGTTGTAAGGGAAAAATAAAATAAAATAAAATAAAAATTTGATAAGAACAATTTGTAGTAATTTCTAAAACATAAAGAAAGAATTTATATTTTTAACAAATGTTAATAATGCATTTATAATTTATCTAAAAATGAATAATCATTGTACCATTACTCTTCAATGAATCTATAGTCCATTTTCCCTTTAATTTACAACCTCATACGAACCCTTAAATGTGAATGGGGCTCACGGCTGACAGATCCATTGCACAATCATAGAGAAGCTAAGGTCACTGCATTCGTCAGAGCCATTGTAATGCAACTCTTATCACTGAGAAGTTATTGCTTGGTCTGGATACAGCCACGGTGTGTCCTTGGTGTGTTTTGATTTATAGATGGGTGGAGTTTATAATTTTGTGTTGAATAATTGAAAAATATAAAGAGAGATAAGAGCTCATAATTGGTCCGAGACATGATCACATGATGTCTCAAAACTAACTAGTAATTTTTCCTTATCACATTACTGAAATAATCATGTTTCAGTTTTTTTTTTTTATTATTATTATATAACCCACTAGTTTATTAAGACAAAAAATTATAAAATTTATTAATTTGTATATCATTCTCTTTAAATAAAATATTTATTCCATCGTTTCAAAATATTCATAAATGTTGTTTTCAATTTTCATACTCTAAAATTTTTAGAAATTTTTTAATTATATGACCCATTAGTTATTAAGAAAAAATTAGACAATTTATTAATTTATATGTTATTCTCTTTAAACATATTTGTTCACTGTTTCAAAATATTCGTTAATGTTGAATTATGCTTTGAAATTTTCATATATTAAAATTTTTACATAATTTAATAACAACGTATATTTTAAAATAAAAAGACAAAAAGAGACAAAATAATAATTTAAGGATAGAAGATCCTCAACCACTAAATATGGTTACCATGTCAAAAAAATGTGAAAAAGACTTCTTTTTTTTCTTTTTCTTTTTTATTCATAAAAATCTTGAGTTTTTTTTTTGCAACATATAGTTCGTATTCTTAAATGTATATACTATCATAGTAGTGTGTACCTATACCATATATATTATTATATAAAGCATAAATTTTGTGAGTGGTGGTTTTGCAATACTCTTCCACTCCAAACAAATCCTTGAAAGATTCTTGTTCTGTGCCTGAAATAAGAAAAATACTTCGGTCAGGAGTGCCGGTGTTAGCACTCCGACGAGCAAGCCAATCTTTTGAAAAGAGAAGGTCCTTGAATTTTTTAAAGTACAAGTTATTAGAACATATCTTTTCATTTGACCTTTATCTCCTTTTAGGTCATCTCCAACCGTTCACCAAATCCAACATCAAATTCAAATTTGATGAAAAAAAAAGTTGCTTTTTGTGCTCCAACGGTTGCACCAAAATAGTATCAAATTGAGAAAACATCAAAGGTTTCACCAAATTGAGGACAACTTGCTTCTTTCACCAATTCACTGTGTACAGCCGTTAAAGCAGAAATTTGTGAAAATTTTACACTACGGGGTCGACCACCCGGTTGACTCATGCAAAAATTGGCCTGCGAACTGGTTCAAATTGTTCAAATTACTGGTTCAAACGGTTCAAAAAAATTTGAACCGGTTGGTCGACCAGCCGATCGACCCACCGGATGTCCCTTCCCTTTTTTGATGCACACTACAGTAACCATAATCATTGGAGCTACGCGTATCAGATCAAGAAATTCAACTTTTTTTTATTTAGATTTGGTGAAAATTTTGCTACACTATTGAAGATGCTCTAATAGAGTCATACTTTTAGATATTTTCTCATATAACTTAACCCTTGATAATTATCATGTCAAGATCCATCTCTCTACTATTTTCTCAGAAAAAGACCGCTTAAGCCCACTTAAATTGAATTACCATGCCAATTTACCTGATGCACTCGCCCCGAAATACGACCCAAGTACCTTCTACCCCACACATTCTTCAATCTATTTGAATTTACTCCGCGATGACTTACTTGAGCCCAGAAGACTTTCTGAACCTGACCCATCTTTAATGGGTTCGGATGTGTCCTTTTCGTTGATTGGAGACCCCATGAATTCGGTTCCCACAAATTTCATTAGTTTGAATTATCACACTTTTTTCAATTATCTTGTACAAACTATCTCTATATAACTACTTTAGATTTTTATTTTTAATTTTTAATTTTTAATTTTGAGTTTTTTCTTTTTTCTTTACATTTAACTAATTGATTGTTGTAGTGTGGCTATTAGTGTGCACACCATCCAATATTTATATACGATAAGTAATGAAGTACAAAAATAGAAACTACTTATAAAATTATTTTTTCTTATTGACAGTTATCAAACTTTTAAGAATATTTTTGAAAAGGAAAAAACGTGACATAAGTGTCTATAACTCAACCATTTATCATAAGGATAGAGTATTAATAGATTTTAATACTTGAATTTAATTTTTATCAAATCTTATTGAAAGTTAGTCATAATAAAATCGTCATTAAAAATATTTTTTTGTGATGATTTTTTGCATGTCGCTTAAAATTGATAATTAGTGACTTTTTTATCACGATTTTTATAAATTGTCACTGAAATTTACAATTAGTGACTTTTTTGTGACTAATTTTTTGAATTGTCACTAAAAATTAAAAATTATTGATATTGTTTTGTGACAATTTTTTTAAATGGTCATCAAAACTCATATTAGTGACTTTTTTTGGCAATTTTTAAATTGTCACTGAAAATTAATAATTAGTGACTTTTTTTTAATAATATTTGATGAAAAATATCATTAATTATCACAATATCTATTGATAATAAATCTACCTATTAAAATTTACACGTAAGTATTTCTTTATATGATAGAGTAAAACTATTTCTTTCTATTACTGATGGTTATCAAACTATATTTTGGAAGAAGAACAAAATGAAGAAGTGTTTATATCAACTAAAACCTTTGGTTTATTAAGACTAGCGAGTGATACGTGTATAATTTAGATAATTAATAATAAAAATAAATAATAAAAAATTTAATATCATAATATATATGCTATTTAAGTGATAAGTATATTGTTAATAAAACTTAAGATCTTAGGTTCAAAACTTACTTATATTGTGTATAATAATTTTTTTATATTAGTATATATAAATTTGCTACATGGCATGAGAAGAAAAAAAAAAAAAAAAAAGTTTCACTTGACCAATTTAAGCCTTCACTTACAATTTAAGCCAATACGTGTGCAATTCAAATAACCAATAATAAAGACAAATAATAAAGAATTTAATATCATAATATGCATGTTATTTAAGTGATAAATATGTTCTTAATGAAACTTAAGGTCTTGGTTTCAAAATTTGTTTACACTGTATATAATAATTTTTTTTATTTTAATATATATAAATTTTCCACGTAACATGAGGAGAAGAAAGTTTCACTAAACTAATTTAGGCCTTCACTTTATAATAGTATAATAGTATAGATATAGATAGATAATACATACTTTAAAAAAAAGTGTATCAATGCCCCAAACTACGATCTTTATGATTTTTTTTTTCTTATAATTTATTGTGGTGTTTGTTATAATTTAGTTATGATCTTTTGTAAATATTAATTTAATTATGATCAAAGAGAGCTTTGGATATAATTCAAATGATATTTGATTATAACCATTGATTATGTTTTATTATGATATTGATTATAACGTATTAAGATTCTTATTTTGGTTATAACTCAAGAGTTCTTTAGTTAAAATTACTCCAATACTACTCTTTATTTTTCATTAACTAAAGTAAAAAGAAGAAAAAGAAAAAAGGAATGCTATTTACCTAATTTTTTTTTTTATCTATATACTCTAGGGCTACACTTTATTGAAAAAGTCTCTCAAGGCTATCTTGGAAAAATTTTGTTAAAATGACTTAAGGGCTAGTTTGGGAAGATTAAATAAGTGTACTTTTTGACTTTTTTTGTATTATGTGTAGAAAAGGTAGAGAGGAGATGTTGATTGATGTGACCCAAAAAAGATAAAAAGATGAAATAAGTGCACTTTTTTCTTTGTAGCCAAATTTGACCTTAGTATAGTAGACCCATTGAAGGTGAAACATGACGAGATTACCTATAATAGCCAAAATGCCTCTTTTAAAAACACCCATTGAAAATGCTTTATAATCCATTTTAATCTTTTTAATTATGATTGAGTGGTCGTTTGGAGCTAATTTTTTTTTTTTTTTTTTTTTTTGAGTTTCCAACTTATTTCAGTGTTAAAAAAGTTAATTTTTTAAAAGAGAAACACTACATATATATTTTATAACTAAAAATGAAAATAATATAATTCATACTTTTTTAGTCATAACTAAAATTTTAAAAAAAAAAATCATACCTAAACAACATATAACTAAAGATCTCACGAATTATAACTAAATAAAAAAAAAATCATAACTTAAGAATAAAATAATATAATTTAGGAATGCATAGAGTAGGTGTATAGTAAAAGGTTACTTTTAAAAGCTATGAGTTGATGTGATGTGTAATTTTTTTTTAATTGATAAAGTAATATAGTAATTTTTTTTTAATTAGTTTTTATAAAATTATTAAATAATTCAAAAAGTAATTTGATTATAACACTACCACACGTGTGGGGTGTGTAGCTAGAATCATATTATAAGAATTGATGTGATATGTAATTTTTTTTTTTTATTGATAATGTAATATAATAATTTTTTAATTTTTTTAAGTTGTCAAATAATTCCAAAAGTGATTTAATTATAACACTAAGCACTTGTGGGGGTGTGTACGCTAGAATCATATTTATATAATAAAACAGAACAAAAAAGATATATATTTTGAGAGAGAGAGAGAGAGAGAAGTTAAGAATGAGTTCAGAAAGAGTGATGGAGGAGGAGGGGGAGGGGGAGTGCCATGGATGGGCAGCAAGAGATGCATCTGGATTTCTCTCTCCCTATAACTTTGCCCGTAGGTAATGTGTTTCTATAGCTCCAAACATCTTCTTATATTTCCCATCTACATATATACTTCTGAACACTTCATTAATGATTGAATCTGTGTTGAATTCTTTCTCTTGTTATATTTCCCATCTTCTTATATTTTTTTTTATGTGTTTTTATCTTCATCTTGTTGCTTAATTACAATTTATTTCTAGTGTTGAAGCTGTGTGTGTATCACTTCCATAATTGAATTCTCATTACAACTACTGTCATGTTTTCTGTTGGATTTTCTTTTCTTTTCTTTTCTTTTCTTTTGGAAATGAAAATTCAAACCAAAAGTAGCTGGCACGAGGGCTTTTCATCGAGTTTGGTGTTTGAAAGTTTGGGTCCAATTTTGTTCACATTTTCAAATTGCGTTAACAAAACACCTGTTCTTATTAGTTTAAACTAATAGGTCCACAATTTAAAAAATTTCTAGTGATCTATACTTGCTCATCTTCAATCATGTCTCATTGTTCTTTCTATTTTTTTGTTTATCTGTATATTTACCAGTTTTAGCATGAAAAAAAAAAAATGCAGGGCGGTTGAAAGTGATGATGTTTCATTGAAAATTACCCACTGTGGAGTGTGTTATGCTGATGTTTCATGGACTAGGAATAAATATGGAGACTCAGAGTACCCCCTAGTGCCTGGGTATGTACTTGATTTTCTCTCTCATTTCAGAGTCTTTCCATAATCTATACCTTTCTCATGAACTAATGTGTGTGTGTGTGTGTGTGTGTGACATTGCATGATAGACATGAGATTGTTGGAATTGTTAAAGAGGTTGGTTCTAATGTTCATCGCTTCAAAGTTGGAGACCGTGTTGGAGTCGGAACTTATGTCAATTCATGCAGAGATTGTGAGTATTGTGGTATGAATATTGATGTCTACTGCTCGAAGGGAGCTGTCCGTACATTCAACTCTGTTGATGTCGATGGTACAATAACAAAAGGTGGATATTCTAGTTACATTGTTGTTCATCAAAGGTAATTTCCCCCCCTTCTATAGCATAGCAATAGCAATCAAAGATTTTTTAAGACCTCAATAGCGTAGCAATAGCAATCAAAGATTTTTTGAGACCTCAAACCCAACATTGAAGTAAGGTCTTAGAACCTAGAGTTTTTGGACAATTAGGGCCTTTGAACAGAAGAGTTTTTTTTATTTTTTTATGTTTTTGTGATTTTTGGGTGAGCGTACTAAGTTGCCTTATAGTTGAGTCACTTCTGATGGTTTTATTTGAATTCAGGCATCACATATGGATGAATGCCTCATCCACCTTAGTCTGCTCATTATCTATTTTCTCTACAATCTGATAAAAAGTGCATTTTTGGATGATGATTGAGGTAGCTTCTACTTGCCTCCATATGACTGGCATTGTTGGCAAAACAAGTCAGTTAATATGTTGAATTTGAATTCCTCATTTATGATATCAAAATAAATTGAGGCAATTTGGCCAACTATGCCTTCGTTTGGGAAGTAGGTTGGCTTTTTAGCTTTTTGATTTTTTTGGCTATTTTAACCCGGGACTAAAAAGCTTGGTTTTTGAAGGATTTTTTACTTTTTTGATTTTTTTGTGAAAGAAAGAATATAATGATTATGGGTTGGATGTGATATTTTGTCTTATTGAACTAGAAAACCTATTTTGTTTTTTGTGGCTAAAACAGCCAAAAAAGCCCAAGTTTGGGCTTCCCAAACGAAGGCTATATGGGCCTTGAATGCATGGATATATATAGGATAATTACCGACTGGTTTTATTGATTAGACTTATTTACTCATAAGTTTTGAGGGAAAAAAAAATATATTTATGTATTTGTCTCTCGTTTTGATAATGAGAAAATTTTGTAACTTTTTAGATGTATTTTGTGTTTATAGAAAGATCATTTGGTACTGGTAATAATACTAATAATTTATTAAAGTGATAAATGATTGGAACATTTTGAGTTTTGTTTGTGAGTTTTAATTTATTTTTAGTTTATTTTTGTTAGTTTGTAGTGAAATATGAAGTGGGGAAGTGTAAGTAGTTGATGTGAATTTTTTTAAAAATATTTTTACAGTGATAAATTTATAACTTAAAGTTTACTATAAATTTCTTATAAATAAATCCGATTCACAGGATCGGCTCAGAACTGCCCCATGAGACAAAGCAAACAAAAAGAAACAAAGCAAACATAATTTTTTTTTATGGAATTTAACATTGTGCCTATTTTGATGCTTGTAAAATACAGGTACTGCTTTAAGATACCTAATGATTACCCGTTAGCCTTAGCAGCACCACTGCTATGTGCAGGAATCACCGTTTACAGCCCCATGATGCGCTATAAAATGAACCAACCAGGTAAATCTCTTGGGGTAATTGGGCTAGGTGGCCTTGGTCACTTGGCAGTTAAGTTTGGAAAGGCTTTTGGATTGAGTGTTACAGTTTTCAGCACAAGTATATCTAAGAAAGACGAAGCCCTAAAAAAGCTCGGAGCAGATAAATTTGTGATCTCGTCTGATGAAGAACAAATGAAGGTAAAGTCCATGAGCAATTCTCCTCCAGGGATGTATCATGTTCTATTTTTCAGAGGCTCACAGACTAGCAGCAAAGAGAGAATTATAGCACTGAAGGTTTTAGTAATTTGACAATCGTCATCTTAATTTCATGCAGGCCATGGTTAATTCACTCAACTTTATCATCGACACAGCATCAGGGGATCACCCATTTGATCCGTACATGTCACTGTTGAAGACCGGTGGCACCCTTGTCCTGGTTGGTTTCCCAAGTGAAGTCAAGCTCCATCCTATAAGTCTCATAATGGGTATGTATTTTCATCACACAGTTCTTGAAAATTTGAAATTTAAAAGAACAGATAAAAGACACTTTTAGTCCTTAAGCATGCGTTGTCTGTCATTTTAGTTCCTTAAGTTTCAATTCTGTCATTTTGATCCTCAAAGTTGTCAATTTGGTACTATTAAATTGGTCAGGGGAAAGGTATTTTATCTTTGGTGAAAAGGCAGTTTTGGTCCCTAAAGTATATGTTCTTTGTCATTTTATTTCCTTTAGTTTTAATTTTGTCATTTTGGTCATCAAAGTTGTCGATTTGAGTTATGACCAAATTGACTCAAATTGCCAGTTTTGAGGACCAAAATGATAAAAATTGGAACTTAAATGACTAAAATGACAAGGAACACATATTTTGAGGACTAAAACTGTCTTTTATCCATATTCTCATTATCAATATAGACGGGCGTTAGACCTAGGACCAAATTGACAACTTTAAGAACTAAAATGACAACATAAAAACTTAAGAGACTAAAATGACAAACAACGCATACTTTAGGGACTAAAAATGTCTTTTATCCTAAAAGAAAATGATGGGCGTTTTGATTTTTTGAGAAAAGAAATTCCCTGACAATGAGAATTCAAACATTAAAATGTTTCTTTTGGTAGGTATGAAATCCATTTCTGGGAGCGTAACGGGAGGCATAAAGGAGAGCCAAGAAATGTTGGATTTCTGTGCAGCTCAGAAGATATATCCAGAGATTGAAATTATTCCTATTAAGTATATAAATGAAGCTTTAGAGCGGCTAATAAAAAGGGACGTGAAGTACCGGTTTGTTATTGATATAGAGAACTCTTTTAAATGAAACAATAGAAGTAAAATACAATAAAAATAAAAAATCAATTGTTGTAATGTTAATGAAGATACAAGGGGCAGGAGGATCCATATCAATAAGCAAAAGGGTGTGATAAGCAGTGATCTTCTTGATATGTTGTGCTACTTGCTATATGGGGCAATACTATTACTACATATATGTTCATGTAGCATATGTTTCGATCATGGTTCAAGGCTCGATTTTTCACTCTACAAGGAGGTAGATCTTGATAAAGTGGGATCTCATACCTCACTTTTTTAACTGATTTGGCTGACATGATTAGTCGGGATTTGAATTGATGTGGTGATTCAGAACTATGGAAAAAAAATTCATTTTAGTTCAACTCCCCTTGCATATAACTAATTCCAAACTTCTTGTCCAGATTAAGCCCTCAAAATTATTTTCCTTATTTATTTAATGGTCAGAAATGGTCCTTTTTTTATTTTTTATTTTTTTGGTGTTATTTATGTCATCCTAGCCAAACATAATACAATTAATTTCATACATATATATATATATATATATATATATTATTTGGTACATTATTCATGATATTATTTATCCCCTCACCCCAACTCCAACCACATCATCCATGATATTATTTATCCCTTCAAGTTAAGATTATTAAATTTGTTGTAATTTATTCCAAGTTAAAAGTTAGGATTATGTAAAAAAAAACCTCTTCCTCAATTTGAGGATAATTAACTTATTTAAATTATTTTTATTGCATAAATTGTGAACAAAAACTACAGCAAATGACCAATCCCAAAATAAAAATAAAAATCACAAAATAAAAGTAAATAAAAAAAATAGTTATAAACAATGCATTTTAAACTGCAAACAACACTACTCTAGCAATATATTGCCAAAAATCAAATATCAATTCTTGAGTTTTGTAAACATAAAAGTTTCAATTGCTTGACAAAATTCTACAATTTCTTCAACCGTTTTAAGTTAGTTTGGTTTCGTTTTTATCTTGATGTTTTGTACTTTCCATGTTTTTGAAAGTAATAACAATGAAAAGTTCTAAAGCAACTACCTGCCAAAAAAATAAAAAATAAAACAATTGAAGTGCTTCCTAAAAAAAAGGAGTATTTAACTTATTCTCTCTCTTTTGTTTTTCTTTTTTTTTTTTTACAAAACAAAAAAATGAAAATGACACAAAAGAGGTAGACATTCACATCTTAAAGTAAAGCAGTGACATGTTGTACTTGTACTTGCCTAAAAGGAAACAGGATCAAGGATAAAAATATCATAAGCTCATACTGCTATTGTTTGGCAGACAATAGTAGAAATGCAATGGAAAGCTACCCTTTATTATTATCATTTGGTTCACATATGTAAGAAAAGTTGTTCCCATAATAGTTTCCATTACAAATGTTGATCATCAGTATGTCATTACTACAATAGTAAATACATTTGAGGATAAGTAAAACATGATATATATTAAAAGAGAAATAACATAGTTATATCAAGCCATAATCTACAGATAGAAGAAACCCAACAAAATATAAAACAGTAGCCAATTAGGACTAAAAGCCATGACCACAGCTAGCAAACGCAATTTATCCTGAAATCGCACGCAAAATTAACAAACCCTACAAGGACAGAAAACACAGATCTAGAAAAAGGTTAGAACAATTCGAGATGTTTAATATTGTGGAGGTGTATCTTCACAAGAAATGGATGTGCTAGGCTGAACTTCAATATTTGAAACATCCAATATGTCAACTTCCATGGCTGTCTTAAAGGGCATTTTAGTTTGAACCTTAACAACTGGCAAACTCTATGGGTGTATTAACTGAAATGCATCAATATCTTTAAGATTTAGACGTACGTTACGATCAATGAAGAGGAAGTTCTTGCCCAATTTCACTTTTTTCTTACGCATGCCTTCCATTTTAAACTTAGCACCATTCGATGTACCCCCTCCAATCCCTCTCTGCCACTCGGTGTACCTCCTCCAATCCTGCTACTACTACCACCATCGAATGGATCTTGGTTTCGTGATGGGCTTCCCCAATCAAAATCAACACCAAAATCTTTAGACCAAGGCATTGATGTACTTCGCTATGGGGGAAGGACATAAGCAAACATGTTGACATCTAAACCATCTAAATCTCTATTTTTAAGATACCGCATAGCCAAATCCCAATCAAAATTAAAATCCTCATCAAGAGTATCCTTGATTAGAGCTATTTCAAGCGGGTCTAAATGAGAAAACATATCAGGTGGCAATGAACATCTCCAATTGTTATGATTAAAGTCTTCATTCATGGCAATACCTTGCCTTTTTCTTCTTTTGATAGCCGTCTAGTGGCCGACTTAGAGTTGATAAGGAAACCCTTTTTCAACATAGTACAAACCACTCAACAGTGGGAAGGAAGATAAAGCAATATACCCAAAAGAAATCACAACACAGAAGGAGAACCAAAAACCACAATCACAGCAAAAGGACATCCAAGAGCAATTTGATTAGACAAAGATAGAAATTAAACCATCAGGGCAAAACAACCCAAATCACCAATGAAAAGCAAGACACTGATGATGAGTCTTGGAACCGATTTACTGAAAACAAGAGCAGGTTGCAGAGTTTGGATCTACTAAAGCAACACTAACAAAGCACAGCTCTAAGGTAAGTAAAGATCGGGACTAAGGGGAGGGGGAGATCAGTTTGGCGCTGGAAAAATGAAACCAAAGACAGCTTAAAGCACAACCAGTTTAAGAACATACCTTGGCAAAGCCCCCTCCCCCTAAGGGGTGAGATCCAAAGAAAGAGGTGATCAAGAGGGAGATAGAGCCCCCCTAAGAGAGCGCCGGAAACCACCTTGGTGAGAAACCCTAACAACGCCAGAAATTGCCTCTTGAGCCGCCGGAAATTGCCTCTCTTTCTTTTTTGGCATTTGTTAGTTTTTAATGTAAGACATAAACTACACCCCCACACCCTAAGGTTGTGTTTGGGTTGAGATTTAAGAAGGAAATAAAAATAATAAAAAGAAGAAGCAGATGAAATGTAGGTAAAATTCACAAACATTACACTCACTTTTTCTCTCTCTCTTCCTCTTTCCAAAATCTTACCCAGATCAATGATCCAAACACAACTTAAGGGGCCATCCAAGTTGGTATGTTGTATGCTCCCCACGTTACTGATGAGGTTCCCTCTTGTTTGCCCAGTTCATTGGCATATAAGGGATGTCCTTTGAATCTCAAATTTACCTTTCGGTAGGTTCAAAGGGCCCTCTCTAGGGATTCTCGATTATTAAAAAAATAACTATACCAACCCACACGTAACTCATCAAGCTAAATTAAATCCCTAAAATGCAATCTTTTTTGAGCTTCAATTTCTAAATTGTCTCACTCATCTCAAATTATGCAATTTTTACCTCAAGCAAAATTATAATAAGAACTGCATGAACACAATTTTCTTTTACTGCATTTATTCCATTGAAACAGCAAACCTAAGATTTACTGATTTTTCCTTCAAATCATTTACAGAGTCAAGAAGAATTATGCTTACACAACTAGTACTATTCACATACTAAACAAACTACTTCCTAGAATTCGATCATAGTAAAACAAGAAAACACAAAACAAAGAAAGACAATGAAGGACTAAAACAATACCATAATCATCTAAAATACAGAAAATACTAATCACTTCAATTTGCATTTTCAAACTGAAAAATGAACTCATACCTAATTAACCAGTTTATTCTACTTTCATGTTACAACAAAAGATCCCAACTCAAGTGGAAGTGTTGGAAGCATTATTAGATTAACCCACATAGAAAGGAGGATCATGAATTCTTCTGCAAGGATGACCAACCAAGGATGGAGTTGGCAAGATCTTCATTCAGATTCACTGGAAGTGGTGGCATCTGCTTCATAATTTCCGGCATGTCATTCAAGCTGCAATATTACTGTCAAATTAGCATGTATGACAAATGTATTACTCTATTCATTAGTGTAATGCTACTGCAATGAAAATTTCATGCATGTCGAGCAAATAAAAAAAAAAAAATCAATATTAAAGATCCAAAAAACAACAATTGAGGTCAAATTCTCAATATTTGTCTCCTCAAAATCACATGTCATTAAAGGTACACAACAAAATGAAAGTGAAAAACAAAAGAGAGGTATACTTCTTTGGCTCCCACAGTGATCCCACACAAGTCTCAGCAGTAGGAAAGACAAAGATCAAGAAAAGACAACAAAGAAGAAAATATACAATAAACTGAATTACAAGAAGAAAAAATAGTCATTATACAACTAGTAATGCTAACATCAAGCGTCTTCTACGGATAGGCAGCCCAATGCATGAGGCTCCCACCACTGTGGGGTCTAGGAAGGGTCATATGTATGTAGTCTTAACCTGGAATGCAAAAAGAGTATTTCCATGTTTAACACCCAGGACACAAAGCCCACCAATCAGGGATGCCTTTATACTAACGTAAAAATACAGAAATATGTAGCTATTGGTTTACAGACATTTCTTCTCAAATTAGTCAGCTGAATTTGATCTATTAAGATGTGTCTGTGTATGAATACAAGCCGATTAGCCAAATAACTCCTGATGGCAGCCATGACTTAATCTCATTCTCACTTCTTTCAGCATATTTTAAATTTTCTATACCACATAATGTCCCCGTTTGATATTGAATTTCCTATAAGATTGTAGCATAAAGAATATGTCAATATGCAATTATTTTCTGAGCCAAATCTGAAGTGTTACTCTCCTGAATTGCCGGATCTGAACCCAAAAGTAGGTTAAAATGATTCAGATACATGGGTGGAGAAGAATGAATAGGCATAAAGCCCTCGTCTGATTGGGATTGGTGAAATTTAAGCAGCGATAGTTCACAGCAAGCAAAATTTTTCTTATCTTACGGCTGGATATGAAGCATATCGAAAATGGTTTTGAAAAGTTTTAATAAAAGTTGACTTTGTTCAAATTAATCTTTCTACAACTAAGACCATTTTTGGACCAAAGTGGAAAATTTTCAGTACCACAACCTTCAATTTCATTGATTTCAAAACAGAGTTCTCCTGCTCTTGCATACAATCGAAGTTGCTTTTTATTACATTCATAAAGAAAACTTGAAAGTACTAATAAAGCAATAAATTCGGGGCATAGATAAGTCAGGTGTTCCTGCGCCCCCTCCCAGAACTGGTCGAAGCCTCTGATGCCAAGCTGGGCCCAATCTGTGCCTCTTCAT